TGGTGCAAGGGGTTAAGCACCACACTATGGAGCAATCTGGAGCCTCTGCAGCACGAGTTTGATCCCCGGCTGGCCAGGGAGCGACCCACGTGGCGCAGCAGACCTCTCCTGTCTCCCCGCTGCTCCCCTCAGCAGTGTACTTCAGTCAGTCTGCCTGTTCTGCTCCCCACTCTGTCTCTGGTGAATCCTCTCAACCCCCACATCTCTGGCCTGTACCCCAGCTTTTGTATGCATAAATAAATAAATCTTTAAAAATAATCTGTTTTATAAGCACATTTAACATTCTGGCTCATCATTTCCTGGATTCAAAGTCAAACAGTCTTGCCTAAAAAGGCAGCACATTCTAGATGTGATCTTTGCAGCGTCTCTCAATGCTCCCGCCTAACAGGAAGCTGACGGCTGTCACTCGCCGCACTACTGGCTGCCCGTGGGTCTCTGTGGATGTGTCTGACATTTGGTCACTGGAGGAGGAAAAATTTGGTCACATGCCATGTACTTTAAATTTCCTAATGCAAATTTGTTGGAAGGAGCCACGTAAGCAAACCTGCTTTGTATGCCGTCTGCTATAGGTTTGGGGGACTGGTGGGTCTAAATGAATGAAAGATCTTGAAGGTTTGAAAGGGCTGGAATGGTCGGAGGGTTCTTCAATTCATAAACATGAGTGTTTCCTAATTGGATATTAGAAATGCTAGCATTTTTTTAAAAGGTTTGTTTATTTATACAAGAGCTGGGGTACAGACCAGAAGTGTGGGGGGTGAGAGGATTCACCAGAGACAGAGTGGGGAACAGAACAGGCAGATTGATCAAAGTACACTGTTGAGGGGAGCAGCAGGTGAGTCAGGAGAGGTCAGCTTGCCATGTGGGTTGCTCCGAGGCCGGCAGGAATCGAATCGGCGCTGCAGATGCTGCCGACAGCTTCACGTCACTGTGCTCAACCCGCCTGCACCACCAGGGAGGCCCCAGAAATGCCAGCATTTCTAAAGTGCTTCAGGAGTTCTCAGAAATATTTTAAACATCCTAACCATTTGCACTGCTTTTGAAGGAGGGATTTGCAAGGAGGTCACGCTGGAGTGAATGGATGGTTATACTAGTGGAATTGCCCTACGTCTTGTCCTATCGGGCTACACTCACTATCTTCAATTTAATTCAAAGTGTTCCTTAACTTGGGCCTCCCTGGTGGCGCAAGGGGTTAAGCACCACACTATGAAGCAGCCTCTGCAGCACAAGTTCAATCCCTGGCCGGCCAGGGAGCTATCCACATGGTGCAGCAGACCTCTCCTGCCTCCCCGCTGCTCCCCTCAGCAATGTGTTTCAGCCAGTCTGTCTGTTCTGCTCCCCACTCTGTCTCTGGTGAATCCTCTCACCCCTGTACCTCTGGCCTGTACCCCAGTTCTTGTATGCATAAATAAATACATCTTTAAAAAAGAAAACAAAAGTGTTCCTTAACCTAAAATCAACTATTGCACCTATATTTTAAAAGGTGTGTTGTGGAATCCCTTCCCCCCACCCCCCAGTCTACCACCCTTCCTGCAGCCTGGTCATCTCCCCAAACCCAGGTTCTTCAAGGCCAACTGGGCCTTCTCACCCGCACCAGCCCAAGCCTGTGAGGAGGGCTGTTCTTCTCCACCCACCCTTCCCTCTAGCTCACCTCCTGCCCACGGGACCCCCTTTCTGCCAGGGCCACTCTGGACAGCTTGGAGTTCCATAACCCCGAGCTCCCCCTTCTGCCCACCTGGTCGAATCCCCCTGTCCTGTCCATGCACGTAGAATCAGCGAACATTCCTCTAAGATCCGAGTCCCCCTTGTGGGGTTGCCTCCTGCCACGCTGCATTTGCTTCTGGCCCCTCTCTCTCCAGTAGAGTTGTCTCCAGTACAACAGGCACCACTTCATGGGGTTTCTGGGACACTCGTGTGACTGCTTCCACTTCAACAAGGGACAGTGAAATACAAATAAAAACTCAGCTCCTCAGCGGCAGGGGCTTCATGTCAAGGCTCAGTGACCACGCACCTTGAGTGACTCCTGTCTGGGATGGCAGAGAACACATTTCCATCACTGCAGAACGTTCTAGACTTAGAGCCCCTTGGGCCAGGTGTGGGAATTTCATGCTGCAACTCTAGTGCTTCCCAGAGTGTCTGCACATGGCAGATGCTCGGGAAGTTTCTCCTGAGAGAAACCAACTGAGCCGGGCCTCCCTGGTGGCACAGAGGGTTGAGCACCGCGCTATGAAGCTGTCCGCAGCCTCTGCAGCGCGGGTTCAATTCCCGGCCAGCCAGGGAGAACCCATATGGCGCAGCAGCCCTCTCCTGCCTGGCCTGCTGCTCCCCTCAGCAGTGTCTTTGGTCCATCTGCCTGTTCTGTTCCCCACTCTGTCTCTGGTGAATTCCCTCACCCTCCCACGCCTCTGGCCTGTACCCCAGTTTCTGCATAATCTTTTTTTTTTTTTTTAAAAAGAACATTCATCAAAATCTAAAAAAAGGAAAAGAGAAAAAAAGAGACCAACTGAGCCGACCCGACGTGGGACTGTCTTCCGAGAAGCAGGACCAGGCGTCGAGCTGTCAGAGGAGATGATGGCAGCACCCTCTCCGGGGGGCCACCGTTTCTGGGCACGGGGAAACGAGTTTTCATGTCTCCAAAAAAGGTACTTTTAAAGAAACTCGTTATAAAATGCATAAGGGGAAGGAGAAATAAAAGAGCAGCGCTGTGAGATCAAGAGCATTTCTTCCAGATGTGGAGAGATTAGGATGAAGGGACCGTCAGGGACAGACCCAGGTCTCAGCTGCTTTCTCCTGCGCACTTCGGAGCCGGCACCAGCCTCGCCCTCCACCTGGAGCCTGCGGGCCCCACAAGCCCTTCCACCGAGTTGCCTGCCTCCTGGGAGACCCTGGCATCCTCAGAGCGGGGGTGCGGGAGCCGCGCTCACAGCTGGCCGGGGTCGCCATGTGCTCTTGGCCTTTCCCAGACCCTCAGCTTGTAACTCCAGCTTCTGGGGCCTGGCCTTCCACATCCCCCACGGCTGACTCCTCCGGGAGACCCGGTGGGGTGGCTGCCAACCTCCCTCCTTGGGAGGCTAGCCGGGGGGCCGCCGTGGCCTCCACTTTCAGGGATCACCACCCTTACAAACATCTTTTCTGGGCTACGAGCTAACGCATGGGGGGTTGTGCTGCCACAGGGAGGCTTACGGGCACTGCCACTTTCCTGGGGTTCTTGCCGCGAGTCACAGAATGAAGGGCCAGAGGTGGGATTTGGACTCAAGCTCATCAGAGGACACGGCCCGAGGCCATGGTAGGAGGTGATGCTAGCCCACACTGTAGGAGGGGAAGGGCATTTCAGGCAGAGGGAAGAGTGTGAGCAAAGGCTTAGAATTTTAAACAGGAAGGAATGTGCCAGAAAATGCAAGTAATTCAGCACTGGGGGCGTAAAGATGTGGTCACATTTTGTTTTAATCAGCTTGTTCACGGCAGCCTGGCTGCTTGGCTGAGGCTGGGCTCCCAGGCAGCCACTGCGTGGAGGTGTCCGGCCTCCCTCTCGTGTTGTGACGCTGGGGTGAGTTTTCTCACCTTTAAGACAAGAGCATTAGAAGAAAAGAAATTGCACCCTATTTTCTTACCACCCAGGTCCCTGTATTTCAGCTGCTTGTCCTGCTGCAGGGAGGAGCCTTTATTTGCCCTTGGACTTTGCTAATTATTCCCCTTGCCTCACCACACCCCTCTTTTGGGTAATCACAGCTGGGAGACAGGGCTTCCAATCAGCAGAGGCACCCCCTGCCCCCCATCCAGGGCTGCGTGGATCCCTGGTCAAGGCCTCCCCTCTCACAAAGATGAGGTTCAGGTTTTGGGAAAAACTGTGGGGCTTCTAGGGAACCCTAAAGGGCTTTCCCATGTCCCAGGCTGCTGGGCCTCCCGCTTAGGGCCTCCTGGTCCCAGGGACCCCTCTCGGCCCTGCAAGCTGACAGGCTTCCACCCGGGAGGTGCTTTTGAGGGGACGGGGTTATACACACTTGGATGATTTTACTGTTAAGCTGTCTCTGCTGGAAAGTCTGTCCGGATCAAGGAACAACCCAATTACAGGACGGTGCACAACCCCTAAGACTCCCGGCCCTTCTAGGGCTGCCCCCCAAGCCAGTGCCTCCTGTCCACGCACCCGGGGCCGGGCCGCCTCCGCCGGGGCAGCTGCGCGAACCCCTCATTTCAGGGTCCTCGGGCGCGAGCTCTGGGGTCTGCTCCAGCCCGGAGCCACCAGGACACACCTCGCGGGGTCGCCCCAGCGCGTCCTGTCCACGGCTCCACCCGCCTTTGTGCCGAGGAAGCCCCGAACTCTCGCGCGGGGGTGGAAAAGCGAACTTTCTAGTTAATGCAATCAGCGCTTGGGACCACCACGCGCGGTGAGCAGTCGGTGCAAAGCGCCCTCCCGCCCGGGCTCTCCCGCCCGCTCTCCGCCAGCCCCTCGCGGCTCCTCCGGGGCCTCCGTGCAGGCACGAGCACGCAGCGCACCCCAAAAAGCATCAGCCGCGAAAGCCTGTGCTCCGGCCACTTCTGCGCGGGGCTCTCCCTCAGCCCGATCGCGCGTGCGGGACAGGGGCGCGCCCCCAGCTCCCCAACGCGGGGACCTGCGGGAGCTTCCCGGGGCGCCCGGGCGCGGGGCCCGCGCAGACTGTCCCCCAAGTTTCCAGGTGCGGAGTCGCGACGCGCGGGCGGCGGCGCAGGGCACCGGGGCGCGCCGACGGGAGCCCGAGCCACGGCGGGCGCGCCCGCCCCCCGCGAGCCCCGCGTGCCCGGGCGCGCCCGCCCTGCCCCCGCCGCGGGCCGGGCCGGGCCGGGTCCGGCCGCCCGCCCGCCCCCCGGGCGCCGTGCCCGTCCCCAGGGCGGCTCGTCACCGCCGCGAGGCCAATGGGCTGGGCCGGGCGGCCGCGCGCACTCGCCCGCTCCCCCCGCTCCGCCGGCTCTTCCCGGCGCCGCGCCCCGTCCCGGCCCAGCCCGCCGCCGCCGCCGACCGCGCCGCCATGCAGCCCCCGCGCGCCGCGCTCGTCCCGCCGCTGCTGCTGCTGCTGCTCGCGGCGCCCGCGTGGGCGCTGCCGCCCCGCTCCGGCCGCTCGGCGCCCGCCGCCCCCGGCTGCCCCGAGCGCTGCGAGCCCGCGCGCTGCGCCCCGCCGCCGGCCCACTGCGAGGGCGGCCGCGTCCGCGACGCGTGCGGCTGCTGCGAGGTGTGCGGCGCGCCCGAGGGGGCCGCGTGCGGGCTGCAGGAGGGCCCGTGCGGCGAGGGGCTGCAGTGCGTGGTGCCCTTCGGGGTGCCCGCCTCGGCCACGGTGCGGCGGCGCGCGCAGGCCGGCCTCTGCGTGTGCGCCAGCAGCGAGCCGGTGTGCGGCAGCGACGCCCAAACCTACGCCAACCTGTGCCAGCTGCGCGCCGCCAGCCGCCGCTCCGAGAGGCTGCGCCAGCCGCCGGTCATCGTCCTGCAGCGCGGCGCCTGCGGCCAAGGTACCTCCGGCGGCGCCCCAGGCTCGCCCTCCCGGCCCGGCCGGCCCCCGCGGGTCGGCGCGCGCGCAGAGGGGTCCCCGAGCGGGGGGTTCGGGGCGCCCGCTCGTTGGCGCCCTCGGGCTTCGCGCCCTGCCGGCTCCGGGGTCGGGCGCGCTCGGTTCTGCAGGAGCGATCGATCCCCGGAGGCTGGATCCTGGGCACCGGCACCCCCTGGGCACCCACGCCGCGCCAGGGGCCGGGACGCACGGGCCGGAGCGGGGGCGCCCCGGGGAGGAAGAAGTTGCCGCGCGCAGAAGCGCCTGCTTGGAGCCAGCCGGGGGCGTCGGGACCTCAGAATTCGTTTCTGGCGCTTTCCCCTCCTTCTGCGTCTCCGTCTCCCCCCCTCTCGCTCCCTGTGGAATCAGCCACGCGTTCTGGTGTTTGGCAGCCTGCGCCTGAGCACTTTCCACTTTTTAGTTGACAGGACAGTGCTGAGGCCCCGCTCGCGCTCCTGGGGGCTCCCCGGGCAGGCGCGGGGCTCCGACCGCAGACGTTGCCGCGGCACCCTTGGGTCTGCCCGGGTGTTTCGAGCCAACCCTACAAAAATGAAAGTGGTTCTTTTGAGTAAACTGAGCGGCCTTTGGGTCCTGGACATCCGCAGCGGGTTCAGGGTGAGATGGAACTGGGCCCTTCTCGCCCTCCTTGAGCATCTTTTCTTGATACGGACAGGCAAGGGAGGTCGTGGCAGGGCAAAGGGTAGAGAAATCGGGCCCCTCTCTTGTGGACCGTCCAGAGGGGTGCTTGCCCTCGGTCAGAGGCCATGGGGAGAGACAGTAAGGAGGCCGGGCAGCCAGGCGGCGGATAGGGCAGCCCGTCTTGTCCTGGGCAGCCGCCAGGCGTGGCCGCCTCTCCACGGAGACAGTGTGTGGAGAGGTGCTGGGGCGCCCAGTGCAGGGCTGGTCTGGATTTGTAGGAACAGGGTCCAGCCTGGTGTGGGTTGGCATGGGCACAGGGGGATGCAAGAGCAGAACAGGGAGCAGTGGGAACTCGTGTGCCCACCTGCCCAGGAGCAGGGAGCCGAGCCCCGTCCTCGGGGAACAGCCTGGGGGAGGAGAGTTACTCTGGAGAGATGTGATGCAGCGGAGACTCGGACAGGACTGTGAAAGTCACGCCAGCTGGGCGCACTCTGGGCCCTGGTCTGGGCACAGGTCTGTTTCGCGTGCGACCCCCGCTGTTCTCTCAGCCCCCCCGAGGAGGGAGCCGCTGCTCTCATTCCACTTTCCAGGTAGGGGAGCTGAGGCTGGACTTTTTGGACTGACTTGGACGTTGGCATTTGAACCCAGATACCCTTACTAAGACCAACCCGGTGCCACCCCCAAGGCTGCGGGAGAGAGGTCAAGCGGGGTGAAGGAAGGTTCTGGAGCGCCGGGAAGCGCATCCCAGGTGGAATGAGGAGCAGCACGAGCTAAGGCCGAGACTTGTTTGGGAGGTGGCGAGAATAGATTGGTGTGGCTGGGGGCCATTCGGGGAGGGCAGAGGGGGTGACCCAGGCTGGTGGCGCAGAGTTCCAGGGCTGAAGAGGACAGGCTGTGCTGTGTCCTCAGCCGTCCTTGAACCAGGGCAGCTCCGGGACGAACCTGGCGGTGGAGCGCAGACTGCGCCAGGGCGGGGAGTTGAGGTCCTGCAATAGTCTGGGGGTGAGGTGATGACTTTAAAAAAGCATATGGGTGTTTTGGTCAAAAACAAGCCAGCTGTTCCTGTTTGTAGTCTCGCTGCACGGGGCTCTGAGTAACACCAGCCTCACGTCTAATTTATTGCCAGCGAGGTGGAGTCCCTTAGTGAGCGTTGGAGTTGGCAGGGTCCTTAATGCCCAGCTGAGCAGAGTTGCCCCATTGGGAGGGCCTCACGCATGGACCACCAGGCCCACAGCAGGCTCCCCTCACAGAAGCATGGGGGTGCAAGGCTGTTCTCATCCTTCTTTCTACTAATATCGACTGAGCTCAGCAGTGTGGCCGGCGCCATTTTGTTTTGTTTGCTGGCACATAGGCAGCACCTGGATGAGGATGATGGATGGACGGATGGATGGATGGACGGACGGGCAGATGGATGAGTGGACGAAGAGACAAGAGCTGCTCCAGATACTCGGCCACCCTGTCTTTTCTTAGTGGAAAGTATTGGTTTGCCACCCCCTTCTCTGCCCTCGACTTCCCCGAGGCACTGTGAGGGCACTGTGAGGGCAGCGCCCCCGCCAGGGAGCCGGCAGCCCCAGTGGCCGCAGCCCCAGTTGCTGAGCTGTTGAACTCAGGCTCGCAGGCTCGGTGGGCAGGAGCGCTTTTCCAGTTGGGGTGGACACAGTAGGCCTTTGGGGGAGATGCTCTTGGACTAGAGGCCCAAAGTTGGAACAGGCCAGGGGAGGGTGTGCGAGGGCACTCCGGAGGTGGGAGTGGGCTTCACACTTTCCAAGATAGGGAGGCGGGTGTTTCTGGAATAATCGAGGGCCAGCAGGTGGGAAATGCGCAGAGCAGAGCTCCCTGGGCGGGGGCAGCAGTGGGGTCAGGGCAGACTTTGGGTGGCATAGTTCACCAGAAAGCTGTTCAGCAGGACTTGAGAGCGCCTCTAGTCATGCTTCTCGAAGGAAGGGCAAGTCCTCTGTTCCAGAAGCCCACGCTGCTGCCAGGGTCTGTCTGGGGCGGGGAGTGCGCGGCCAGACCAGCACATGGGGACCTGCGGCCTCCCACTGTCCGCAGTTTGGGTGAGTTTAAAGCAAAGCCAGCTCGGGGCCAGGGTGGCCAGGAAGTCAGGAAGGGCTAGCGTGTATTTAGTGCGTGTTCTGTGCCAGCCTCTGTCACCCCGGTGGCTCCTCCGGGCACTTGGCCGAGGGGTGTGCTGTGCCCTCCCCGCGGTGCAGCTGGGAGACGGCGTCACCCGGCAGTCCCTTCCCCAGGACTTGAGCCCCATCCACGCATCTGCTGCAGAGCCCATTCGTAATCACCGTGCTGTGCTGTTGACAGGGAAACTGAGATTAGAAGCCAGCCCCGGCTAAGCCGCAGCGAATAGCTGGAATCAGCAGCGCCCCAGATGGCCTTGGCCTGGAGATGGAGCGAGGGCGCGTCACAGCCGTCCCGCCACAGGTGCTGGAGCGGGAGGACAGGGTCCCCGCCAGTCACCGGGAGGGCACCACGAACGCAAGCAAAAGAGCAGAAAGGGAGGTGGCAACGTCTTCAAATCAGACGCCCAAGCCCCAGCCTGCTCGTGGCAAAGCCCGGCCCCTCCGGATCCCCAGCCCCCGCAGACCTCTGCTACAGAAGTGGGCAAGAGGTCAGGAAAGAGACCTGGGGGAGACCCCCCAACACCTGAATCTCAGTCCATGTCTCCTCCCACCCGAGGTCGGGAGAGCCCCCCCCATCCCAGGCGGGGACCTGGAGCGCAGCGCCCCTGGTCCCAGCCGCCAGGCCTGGAGCCCTTCACAGTCCTGCTCCCGGCTTGGTTATCCTCTTCCATTGCTCTGGTGACTGTGCTGAAGAGTTAAACTATTATGGTTTCATAAAATTAGTAAGCTGACAGTATGAAAAGCCAAGCGTTTGAGTAACTTTATTCCCTCCAGGGCTGTCAATAGTTTGCACTAGGGCTTAAAAATAACTGTATCCAGTGAGCGATTATTGAGGGGCGGGGGCCATGAGGTAACTGTGTTCAGACAGCCTGGGACTGCGGGGCTGGATTCTGGGTCCATTTGGAGTTGTGCGATCCTGGATGCAGTTTCGTGCCTTGGATTGAGAAATCAGACTTTCCATGAGCTTATATTTTGAATGAATAAATAGCTCTGGTCAGGCTTCATTTGAAGAAGAAATCGGGCTTGGCAGTGGTGGAGGGTTCCTTGGAAGGCAGGTGGGGCTGGTAGGGTGGGGCTGACTCTCACCCTTCACCGGCTGTTGCCTTACCAGGTGACTGGCCCCCAACCTCTCAGAGCCCTGGCAGTCAGGGGACCAGACCAGATGTCTCTGAGGACCCCGTTAGCTGGAACGGTCTGTGATTCTTATAAGTCCCTGGATAACCACTGCGGTAACTTGCTCGTCCCCAGGAGACAAGCTTCCCCGAGCTTCCTCCCCCACTTGTTTGCAGGTGCCCCAAGACTGGGTTGCCCTGGGTCCTTGGAGATGTTTCCTCTTTCTTCCCTGCCTTTTCTGCCCTTTAAAAAAAAAGAAGGAAATTAATACTGCAGGAGAAATCAAAAAGTATAACCATCCCAAATGCTTTTCCAGAAGGCTCCAGCAGTGGCAGGGAAGTTGGTGTGACTTGGTGACCTGTGACTGGAACCACCCAGAACCCAGCCTGGGCGACCACCACAGGGCCCCAGGGGTGGCTGGGGGCGGCCTGCTGTCTGCAGGAGGGGGCAGAGTTCAGCTTTTAGAATCAGCAACGTGAGATGGATTTCTAAACTCATTCAGAGCATTTATTGCCCTCCTGCTGTCCAGGTCTAGAGGGCGGGGGAGTAAAGGTCGGGAGCCTGTGAGCTCGAGGGGTTTGCAGGAGGTCATCTAGCCCCCTTCAGCTTAAGGGCTCGGCTTCTGGGGTCAGATTGCCTCTTAAATACACTTCATCTCTTGGCTTCCTCATCAGTAAAATAATCATAAATAATAGCATGTACATATGTGCCCCATAGGGTTGGTGGGTGATAGAGGCACCTAGTAACATGAAGTGCTTAGCACAGTGCCTGATGCGTTACTGCAACTCTGGGCACTAGCTATGATGAAAGAACAACAACAACAACAGCAGCAGCATCCTCATCATCGAGACATCTAACATGGAGTCAGCTCATTGGGAAAGAGGATAGAATGATCTAGTCTCCTTGAGGGTAAGGTAAGTGGGGAGGTGGGGTAGAGACATTTTCACAGGGCAGGAAGGTGACGTGGAATTTGGACTTGGAAGTAGCCGATGCCCATGTTGGGAAAGGTTCTCTGAGTCAGGATGGGGGTTGCTTTGGTGGCTAGGGGGTGCTCGGAGGTGCTCGGATACCGCCCTGC